ACGCGGGTCAGGGCGCACGCCGAGACGCACGGACACGACCCGGACGGAACCGGAAGCTCGGACGACTACAGGAAGGACGACGGACGCCACGACAGAAGCGGGAGATGCACCGCAACAGGCACCTGCCACAGAGGCAGCGAGTAATGGCGACAGGGACGCAGCACTCATGGCCACGCTGAACAGGATGATCACGACGGTGACGCGACTGGAGACACGGGTAGACGGCATGGAGAGCGCTCAGGCGGCGCCGCGACGAGTGTCCATGCCAGCGAGCGGACCAACCAACACGCTACGGCCCGTCGATACGATGATCGTGCCGCAGCACATTGATTCGCAGCGATCCTCAAGAGCGACGTCAGCAAAAGCAGCGAGATCCAGGACGAAAACGGCGGCAGCACGAGCATCTCGACGGGCACCCGCCCCGGATGGAAGCGATGGGAGTAAAAGCAGCGACGACAGCGGTAGTAACAGTGGTGACGACAGCTACGACAGCAGCAGTGACGATGCCGAGGCAGGCCAGGGTGGACGATGAGGACGGCGGGATAGACGCCGAGGAAGCCGACGCGGAAGGCGGTCGCGCCGTGGACGACACCATCGCAAGAACGCGAAGGACTTGGAGTTGATGGTGTACAAGCCGTCGCCAAACATCTCTGTCTCGACGTGGATCGCAAAAGTGGACCTAGCGATTGAAGGGGCGAGGATCTCTGGACGTGAAGACTGGACGGATAGAGATCTATACTTCATTGTGGGAAACAAGTTACAAGACAACGCGGCGAGCTGGTGGGTTCAAGTGAACCAAGAACTTCAAGACGACGAAAAAACCTGGACGCATCTAAAGGCGGCACTCATGCGGAGGTACGGCGAGCGGCCGGATCAGGCAATGGCCGAATGGAGGGTGTACCAGCGTATGATGTGGCCAAGAGAATCGTTTGCCGACTTCGCGGCCGGGCTGCGGGCAGTCACGGGACAGAGCCACGTCAGTGAGCACACCTTGCTGGCGCAATTCTACCGCAACCTGGACAAGACGACGAGGATGCTGGTGAAACACGCGCCGGCGCCGACGACACTGGAGCAAGCTGTGGGCAAGGTCACAGCTATTGACGACCCAATCGACAACGTGGCGCGCGGCATGGTGAATATCGGGCAACCGTGGGCGACCGCCCCGAACGCGTTCGCGGTGCCTATGGACGGTACGACGGGACGAGTCGCGATCATCCCGGGCGTCGGTACGGGTGCAGCGCGCATGGCAGACGGAGTAGCGGCGGAGACGGGCACGGAAGGCGCGGAGATCGCGTACTTCACTAACCCTCAGGGCGTCTACAATAAGTTCACCGGTACGTGGGACGTCCCTGAGGGCAGGTTCTGGAATGGACGTTATTGGGAACCAGCAAGGAAGCACTCGACACGAGTAACGCGGGGCGAAGGGCAGGGAGGTAAACGCAGTGGTGATAAGAAGGCGAAGGTGCGAGTGACGCTACCGGTCGAGGAATCCAGCGAAGACTCGGAGGAAGAAGTGCCGGAGCCTCTGCCGCAGCGAAAGAAGCAGAGAGCGGTGATACGTAGGACGGTGCCGGCAGAGACGACGGTGAAGACGGAGCCGCCAGAAATGACCA